GTCTTAGCACATGCTATCAATCTCTTTGAATGGTTTCTATCACTTATTAACCATTGTAAGCCAGCTATGCATGAAATCTTAAAATGAATCATAGCTGTAGTTGTAGTCATCTTGAAATACGGAGCTCTAAGCTATAAACTTAGAGCTCTAAGCACAAATGTTTTAAAATGTGATTTTGAATAAATGGAAATTAGTGTATCAGTTTTGGAAAAAATCTTTATAGCAGGTTCACTCTCCTGAATGCATGCTCACTGTTGAATTTTTTTTTCTGCAAAAATCTTGCCCAGGACTTTAGTGTCCACAAACCATCCTGCTGCAGCAGCTGACTAAAGAAAGCAGCCACACTGTTCACCAAGCACCTCTTCCAGCTGAGACACGCACCAGTCATGAGACATCATCCCCACCAGGAAGAACTGCATCGGTACTATCAGCACGCGGCTCTGGTCAGTACTGCAGTTCAGAGCAATTATGCAATTGTCCTCTGTGCAGTGAACAAAATAGACATTAAATATGGATTGTGTCCCGTTTTGTCTTGTATGAAATCTCATGTTGTATTTAAAGCTGGTGAACGTAGTCCTTTTTTTTTTTATTATTTCACTGCATCTTCCTGCTTCTATCTTCCCTTGTGTTCTTACACTTCTGCTGCAGTTATTACATTAACAAAGAGTGGGGATGACTCCTGTATAATAACATTTTATCTGAAACCACACCATGCTGGGAAGATGGTAATTTAGTTAATTGAATTCCCTCTAAAATGGTACTGAATCAATATTCCAGCACAGCGCTGGCAACACATAGCTGGCAATGAACTATTGCATCTAACATTCACAGTCAAACCAATATCTCAGGGCACTGACTGCAAGGATTTGAAATTCTAGTCCCAGGTTTAGATGTAAACCTCTGAGAAAGTGCCTGACCCACCTGGATACAAGCTGCTCTCTGAATCTCATCTGAACACAATTTACAGCCTAGTCTGTGTATTTTGGAAAACATTGGCCATCAGACTAGCAATGAAATGGGAAAGTACTGAGGGAGGCAGCACAGGTACAATGTGAATGTTTTGTCTGGCGTGAGACCAAGAATCTGCACTGTACCAGCACAACACACTCTGCAGAGGGATGCTTGCTGAAGGCACAGTTTTTTGGAACAACAGCATCTGTAAGCACTGCCTGGTGCTCCTACACAGGGACAGAAAGGGTAAGACCTTGCTGGGTTTACTGGCGTCCGCTGTCTTGCTCTTCTAGGAATGAATCTACATCCTTGAGGAACAGACTGATCAGTCCTCATCAGTATCTCTGGTCAAACCACTCATCCCAGAGAAAAATGACCTCTCAGAGGAGCCAGATCCCTCGTCCCAGGCACACAACTTGCTGTCAAAATGTGAAGCACATCAGACATGACCCCAGATTATTTTAGATCCTCTCTAGGGAAGTGACCTTGGGGGCAGAGAACACATTTTATAGCTAAATTCATCATAACAACTTAGCTGAGCCTTCTGGGCTGCGCATCTCACTGGCAAGCTGGGACATCAGCTTGTAAGAGGGTCTGGGTTTGTCCAAAATGGTGGAGCAGGTGAGTGTTTGTGGTGGCAGGGTCCGGCGTGAGGTCTGGCGTGCCCCTCCGCTGCAGGAGTGGGGCCAGAGAGTGGCCAAGGGGAAGAAAGAAATGGGAAGGAGAAAAAAGCTTCATGTCTGGGGCTTGGATCAATGCAAACAACATAAATACTGGCTGAGACACCTTCCGCCTGCTGGCTCCTCCACTGTGAGAGAATTACATGCTGGCTGCAACATGTCTTTTCTTCAGCTGGTGTGGAGCCAACCTCAGAGCAAATGCTTGGCCAGAGCAAATTCATTAGCACAGGGGAAATTGCTGTAAGCCCTTTTCTTTTGGGCTGTGTCACTTTTCACCACAGAAAGTAGTTCTGCAACTAATATTTAAGGTCTCTGCTGTCTCAGCAGCCTGTGGCACCACTTCAGGCTTCACTGGGAAAACAGCCGGAGCTGCTGGTCCTGTGGAAGTTCCTTCAGGTTATGGACTTCTCGAGGGCTGAGCACCCCAACTTGGCCTCTCCTCGTCCGGCCTGTGCTCCAGTGCCAACTGCCCTGGGGACCTCTGCTTTCCTGCCCACATTAGTCACGAAGACTGATGTTTAAAGGCCATTATTCCTTGCACTTACCTCCCCGCAAGGCCATGTCTCCACCTGGCTTCGACCATGAATAGGGGCTGCGTGATGTATCTGTAAAGCAGATCACAGCCACAGTACTTCAGGTGCTTTTTCTAAAGGGCCTTCACACCCTCCTGCAAGGATGAAAGGGGCGAATCTTGTACACACATACACAGCCAGCAGCTCCCCAGGAGATCACTACACTGGTATTTAGAAAGTTTTCCATTTTTGGTGAAGACGCAAACCAACGTCTTGTTGCTCACAGGAAGCTGTTCCCATCACTTCAGGGGAAGACAGACTTCTTTTCAGGTTGATCTTAGGTACTTTGCAGCCATTAGACCTTGTTGGGTCTTTGCCAGCACTAATTCTTCTGGAGCTGGTTTGGCAGGACTGAGATACCAGGCAAGGTGGTGCCAACCAGCCTGGCCAGAGTGGTCTGGCCATTGCTACCCTCATCACCCAGCCCTGTCCCCATGCAGGAAACTGCATGCGCTGGAGCTGCCTCCTTGGGAACAAGGAGAAGGTCGGAGGGGGAAAGTCCCATGTAAGTTGTGGAGTGAGTGGTGGAGAAGAAGAGGAGCTGGAGCAGGTAAGGAGCACCTTTAGGCTGGGTGGTTTGGCAGTGCATGGGAACTGCGAGCCACTGCATGACCTCTGCCATGGCTTCAGAGGCTGCAAAGAAGCTGCTTCTGTTCAGGATGCAGAGCAGGGTGCAACAGACTGATGGTAAGGCTCGGCCGAGCTGACTGTCCAGGAGGAGGTCCCACAGTCCCTGCCCTGGCTGCTCCATCACCTGGCCAGCAGCAGTTCATCTTCCCTTGCTTCTAGATGAACTTATGGAGGTAACTCCAAGTGAGAACCCATCCACCCTCCTTGCTGGCTCACAAACCGTGGGCATCCAGCAGCTGCTAGGTGGACAGCTGAGTTGCTGAGGTCCCCAGCCTCAGAGGCAGAGGTGGGATGAGCAGCTGGGGGAGGAATGACTGCTCTTCCCGAATGCCGTGCTCTGCTGCTGGACACCCTTCACAAAATGTTCTTCCTTCACAAGGCCTCCAGGTCTGCGCACAAGGATGGGGCTGTGGATGGCACCTCCACGGACCACGAGGCAATGCAGGACAGCCTCGCCTTGGGAATTTTGCACCTCATTTTTGCAGCTTGGGCAATGGAGTCAGGAAAGGGTTAAAGCCCCCCTCAGCAACAAATTTTCGAAGGAGGAACATTGGATCTCGGAAAGAGCATTTAGGGGCACAGCCAGCCACGAACTCGCTCTGACCTGCTCAAAGGAGGGCTAATATCCCCCCAGCCCTCACCCCCAGCCTGCCACTGGTAGACCCTTACTGGTAGACCCTCACTGGTAGACCCTCACTGAGGGTGAGGCTGAAATCAGCCCAGAAGATGACAACCTCTTCCTTCTCCTGTGTTTTCTAAAGCAGGTGACAAGGATGCAGAAGGTGCGGGGCTGTGCAATGGCAGGGAGCAAGCCCACCCAAGCCACATGCGTGTCCCCAGCACGTCCCTTGTGGTGTGGGCAGCGCCAATGCCACAGCTGAGGCACCTGTGAAATAACCCCTGTGGGTTATTTAGGGAGCCTGGCTCCAAAGAGATGACCACAGCAGTGGGTATCTAGCTGGAAAGCCTGGCACTGCCACCCAGGCAGCAGTGCAGCAGGCTCTGCTCATGCCTGAGATCGGGGTGGCACCACCTGCACCCAGCGTTGTGCACCCAAGCACCCACAGCAGCAGCCACCCCATCCTGGAGCCGCTGTCCCATCCCCGAGCTGCCATCCCATCCCAGAGCCCAGCCTGTTCCCAGGGATCGTTACCAGGAGCTCATGTGTTTGGTTGCAAACAGAGCAGGAGCAGGAGCCAGGCGCTCGTGTTTGTATGCCTGCAGTTGCTCAGGCAACTCAGAGCCAGCCAGGAGCTGCCAAAACCGCTGGCGGCCAGGGCTGAGCCCACAGCACGGCTGCCCTGGGCCGGCACGGCCAGCTGAGCCTCCCACCACCGAGGTGGATGAGCGGCTCTCACTGCTTGGTCCCGTTGAACACAACCAGACCAGGGGCATCAGTGCGGACGGGGTTTTATTGCAGAGCCGGGTTACAGCACGGGTCTGCAGCATCCTTTGGTTTGGGCTTCACAAAGGCAGCGGGAGGCCACGGGGCTTCAGGTCAGAGACCTTTGCCAATGGCCAGGCAACACCAAGCTCTCCCAGGGTGCGTCCCGGGGCCAGGCTGGGAGCATCCCGGCAGCACCAGCACTAATGGCACCACAGGGTCTCAGCCTCCTGCGGTGCCAGGCAAGTGGCAAAGCCGGGCAGCCCCGTAGCGAGGGCATCGCACAGGCAGGCACCAGTGGGGAAGGAAGGAGGTGGCTGTGGTGTAACTGGTGTGGGGTTAAGGCAGGTCCCTGGGAGGTCTGCAGGGAAGACAGGTTGCGGTCCCTGGTGGGACTGGCAGGGAAGGTGCCCCGAAAGCTGGGGCTGAGGTAGGGAAGGTCTGGGTGCCAGCGGGGCAGGGGAGCCCTGAGGAGCACTGCTGTTAGTACGGCAGGTGCTGCCGGCAGCGGGGGGCTAGGGGTGACAGCACAGGGGGACAGGAGAGGCTGAGGGGGTCACAGCATGGAGGGGGGGACAGACAGGACGCTGGGGCAGAGCATGCAGCCCAGCAACTTCCCAATCACATCAGCGCTGGGCAGCCAACATCCCACCAGCCTGGGGCTGGCCCCAGCACAGCCTCCCAGGCCCCACGTCACGCAGGCATGTCCCAAGGCTGACGTGAATGCCGGCCCCATGGCCAACGTGCAGGGACCGGGGCAGTGGGTGCCACGGGCACCCATCCCTACTTTTTCACTTTGGCATCATAGGTGCCCGCGTTCTTGTAGGCACTGACGTAGCCGCTGGTGTCCACGATGTTCTCCCGTCCGCTCTTGCCCTTGCCCTTGCCACTCTCATCAAAGCGCTCCTTGTGGGAGCCCGTGTACTTGGAGGTGTCTGTCAGCCTCTCCACGGCCCCCACTGTCTTGGCTTTCTGCAGGGGGGAGATAGGCAATGCAAGTCAAGAACATGCCCCATCCCCTTCACCCCTTGCCCCACGCAAGCCCCTGACACCCACTGAGGACCATGCCTTGCCCCATGTGCCCACTGGACCTGTGCGATTGCCAGCCCATTCAGGGCCATGGGGTCCCCTGGAAAGTGTCTCTGCTCTGCTGCAGGCAGAGCTCCATCCTTCCCTCCCGACAAGCCCGCCTGCTCCCAGGGGCTCTTCACTCACCGTGACACCCACGTTAATGGGCTCCTTCCCTGCCACCAGCTGGCAGATGGCTTCGTACGCCTCCTCTTTGCTCTTGTCCTTAAATCTTTTGGGGGCCAGCTCCTCCAGCGCCTTCTTGAACTCCTCGTAGTTGATGACACGGGCTGTCTTCCCTCTGCAAGCACAAAACCCAGGCTGCCATAAGCACGTCTTCAGGTTGCGCCTCCTGCATTGGAGGATGAGCTGCATCAGGGAGACCCCAGCTTTGTCCTCCACCAGCCTCGGGTCCCTTGCCCGCCTCCAAAATGCAGCTACAGCCAGGGCAATCCCGGCTGAATGGGTTGGGTTGGGCACAGCTGGTGCTGACCTCCAGGAGCTTTTCAGCCACACGCTGTTAAAGTCCTTGATGCTAAAAACCTCACCCCTGCATGGAAGTGCCCTGGGACTTGGGTGCTGGTGGCAACAGGGGACACGCATCCATTCCCACTGCTCCCAGCCTGCATGGGATGCCCAGCACCCTCTCTCCCCTGGCAGGTATCAGTCCTTCTCTGGTCAAATTCAGTAGTATGTGCACAGAGCATCTGTCCCACGAGCGCCCGTTCCTTGTTGCTGGAGCAGCACAGCAACCCACCCTCTTACGCACTGAAAGCCTCACAGTGCTCAGACCGTCCTGGCCTCACCAGGGAACAAGGGGCTGCCCGGACAGAAGGTGCGGAGGGAGCAGGTTCTCCACCCATCCTTGCTTGGGGACCCTGGTGCAGAGCGTCGGGTGTCAGCGTGTCCTCGGGGACCCCGAAAGCAGCCCCAAGTGCCTTCAGCTCTTCAGCTGCCCCTGTGACCTCTGAGGAGCAAAGACCAGAGTCCTTGCCAAGCTCAGGTGTGGGCTAGCCAGGCCCAGGGACGGGCTGTGCCGCGTCACACAGGACACCCTTGAGCACCCTCCTCTGCTCCCTGAAGCACCTTCTTGCTAGATGGGAACTTGACAGAACCGGCCAGGCCCACCTCGATGCCTGGAGGCGGGAGCAGGGGCACAGCCTCTGCACCAAAATCGGAGCCTCCCACCCTCCAAATATGGATTAATTTATTATCAGGTCTTGCAAAAGCAGCCACTCAGACTTCCTGAGCACCCACTGCTCCATGCCGGGTGCAACATGGGCATGGAGGGCCTGGGCATGTAGCCGGGGTACCACACCTCCCCGGGGACCACCTCACCCGGGCACCACCACCCTGCCCGCACCGCAAGGGCATCCCCAGCCTCCGAGTGGTTGGAGGCCCCGAAAAGCCAAGTCACTTACTTCACCTTGGAGAAGACAATGTCCACGTCGGTGCTGGTGACGCTTTTGCCATCGGTGACTTTGCAGTCTTTGCACAGCTTGGCCCAGTTCTTCCCGTTCATTTCTTGCCCGGTAGCCTTGGTATCGCCGTAGATGGCGAATTTGCGGAAGCTCTCTTCCAGGGATGCCATCTCAGTGCTCCCGGCCATGGGGCTGCAGGACGTGGGGCAGAGGGGCCTGTTACTGCCCAGGCTCTGGCTGGCAGCACCGGCAGAGCTCAGCAGGCTCTGCTCTCGGGTTCGCGAGGGCAGGAGAAGGAGGGCTGGTAAGGGCGGAGGGACTGCAGCAGGAGCAGGGCGTTGGCAAAGCCTGCACGCATGGGGTGAGGGCTGGTGGCAGCCTCTGACAAACCCCGAGATGTGTCTTGGGGGATGGAGGCTCCCGATTGAGAGCTGTCAGCAGCGAGGCTGTCAGCTCCAGGGGCTGGCGAGGAGTGAGCGCATCAGCCTGTCCCCTCGGGAGCACTCTCTGGGAATGACGCAATGCAGCCGCCTTCCTCCTGCTCGCCGATCATGAGAAACGGCACCGCTGCCTGCCTGCAGCCCACCTCTCCCCTGCCTGCTGGCTCTGCCAACAGCAACATCCTCCTGTGTTGAGCTGGCAGCACCCCAGCTCTGTGACCTGCCCCCCAGGGCTGCGCCAAACATGGTGCCCCACAGCCAGCGGCACTGGGGTGCCAAGTTGCAGACGGGCCTCTGCGCTGTGACCGCTGCCCCATCCTGGCTCCCCGCCTGCCGTCGCCTTGCCAGCCTCGCCCTGCCAGCTCAGCATCCCTTGCCGCGTGCTGAGCACCCACAGCATCTCAGCCAGGACCGGGCGGGCAGTACCCAGGTGTGGCTCCAGCCTCCCAAGGTGCAGAGCGGGGACCTCGCCCGGTGCCCGGGCAGGGGGGGACCGGGATGGGCCCCCCCGGGGCCTTGGCGAGAGCCGGAGAGCGGGCACGAAGGAGCAGCGGGCTCGGCTGCTGCGCCGCCTGGCGACCGTCGCTAAGGAGGAGCGGCGTTGCCTGGCGACCGTCGCTAGGGAGGAGGGGCGTTGCCTGGCGACCGTCGCTCGGGAGGGG